ACGATCCTCGTGAGGGATGTGCCGCTATGGCCCGGGGCCGCCATGCGAACCCTGCCACTGGCGCCTTCGGTGGAGCTCCAGTTGGGCCACGGTCCTCGTGAGCCGAAATGGCCCGAGGCCGCCATGCGAACCCTGCCACTGGGGCCTTCGGTGGAGCTCCCTATGTGGCCACGATCCTCGTGAGGGGTGTGCCGAAATGGCCCGAGGCCGCCATGCGAACCCTGCCACTGGCGCCTTCAGTGGAGCTCCCTTATGGGGCCACAATCCTCGTGAGGGGTGTTCCGAAATGGCCCGAGGCCGCCACTCGAACCCTGCCACTGGGGCCTTCGGTGGAGCTCCCTATGGGGCCACGATCCTCGTGAGGGGTGTGCCGAAATGGCCCGAGGCCGCCATGCGAACCCTGCCACTGGAGCCTTCGGTGGAGCTCCCTATGGGGCCACGATCCTCGTGAGGGGTGTGCCGAAATGGCCCCAGGCCGCCATGCGAACCCTGCCACTGGCGCCTTCGGTGGAGCTCCCTATGGGGCCACGATCCTCGTGAGGGGTGTGCCGAAATGGCCCGAGGCCGCCATGCGAACCCTGCCTCTGGGGCCTTCGGTGGAGCTCCCTATGGGGCCACGATCCTCGTGAGGGGTGTGCCGAAATGGCCCGAGGCCGCCATGCGAACCCTGCCACTGGCGCCTTCGGCGGGGCTCCCTATGGGGCCACGATCCTCGTGAGGGGTGTGCCGAAATGGCCCGAGGCCGCCATGCGAACCCTGCCACTGGAGCCTTCGGTGGAGCTCCCTATGGGGCCACGATCCTCGTGAGGGGTGTGCCGAAATGGCCCGAGGCCGCCATGCGAACCCTGCCACTGGGCGCCTTCGGTGGAGCTCCCTATGGGGCCACGATCCTCGTGAGGGGTGTGCCGAAATGGCCCGAGGCCGCCATGCGAACCCTGCCACGGCGCCTTCAGTGGAGCTCCCTATGGGGCCACGATCCTCGTGAGGGGTGTGCCGAAATGGCCCGAGGCCGCCATGCGAACCCTGCCACTGGAGCCTTCGGTGGAGCTCCCTATGGGGCCACGATCCTCGTGAGGGGTGTGCCGAAATGGCCCGAGGCCGCCATGCGAACCCTGCCACTGGGGCCTTCGGTGGAGCTCCCTATGGGGCCACGATCCTCGTGAGGGGTGTGCCGAAATGGCCCGAGGCCGCCATGCGAACCCTGCCACTGGCGCCTTCGGTGGAGCTCCCTATGGGGCCACGATCCTCGTGAGGGGTGTGCCGAAATGGCCCGAGGCCGCCATGCGAACCCTGCCACTGCAGCCTTCGGTGGAGCTCCCTATGGGGCCACGATCCTCGTGAGGGGTGTGCCGAAATGGCCCGAGGCCGCCATGCGAACCCTGCCACTGCAGCCTTCGGTGGAGCTCCCTATGGGGCCACGATCTTCGTGAGGGGTGTGCCGAAATGGCCCGAGGCCGCCATGCGAACCCTGCCAGTGGGGCCTTCGGTGGAGCTCCCTATGGGGCCACGAAGCGGCGGGTGAAACGCAGGGATGAAGAGGAGGAAGGGGGCAGCGGGAGGAGGAGTGGACGCGGGGCGCTGTCTCTTCAAAACGAGGACCCAACACCACAGGATGGTTGGGAAAAAAAATTATCCTGGCGAAGGACCCAACCATATGCAGTTGTGAATGCCGCAATTGCGAATGCCATCTTCGCCTGCGCTCCCTATGTGGCCACGGCTTCCCGCCGGAGCCCGACGTGCTCAGGGGCGCGTTCGTGGCCGTCTTCGCGGGCGCCGACGACGACAAGGACGGCGTCCCTCTCACCGAGGAGCAGAAGCAGGAGAAGGCCTTGAGAGCCATGAGGGAGGAGGTGGCGTTGCACGTCGACAAGGCGGAGTACGACGCCCATGCGCGGTTGTTGAAGCAGCGCAACTATGGGGCCACGATCCTCGTGAGGGATGTGCCGCTATGGCCCGGGGCCGCCATGCGAACCCTGCCACTGGCGCCTTCGGTGGAGCTCCAGTGGGGCCACGGTCCTCGTGAGCCGAAATGGCCCGAGGCCGCCATGCGAACCCTGCCACTGGGGCCTTCGGTGGAGCTCCCCATGGGCCACGATCCTCGTGAGGGGTGTGCCGAAATGGCCCGAGGCCGCCATGCGAACCCTGCCACTGGGGCCATCGGTGGAGCTCCCTATGGGGCCACGATCCTCGTGAGGGGTGTGCCGAAATGGCCCGAGGCCGCCATGCGAACCCTGCCACTGGGGCCTTCGGTGGAGCTCCCTATGGGGCCACGATCCTCGTGAGGGGTGTGCCGAAATGGCCCGAGGCCGCCATGCGAACCCTGCCACTGGGGCCTTCGGTGGAGCTCCCTATGGGGCCACGATCCTCGTGAGGGGTGTGCCGAAATGGCCCGAGGCCGCCATGGCGAACCCTGCCACTGCCCCTGCGGTGGAGCTCCCTATGGGGCCACGATCCTCGTGAGGGGTGTGCCGAAATGGCCCGAGGCCGCCATGCGAACCCTGCCACTGGCGCCTTCGGTGGAGCTCCCTATGGGGCCACGATCCTCGTGAGGGGTGTGCCGAAATGGCCCGAGGCCGCCATGCGAACCCTGCCTCTGGGGCCTTCGGTGGAGCTCCCTATGTGGCCACGATCCTCGTGAGGGTGTGCCGAAATGGCCCGAGGCCGCCATGCGAACCCTGCACTGGCGCCTTCGGTGGAGCTCCCTATGGGGCCACGATCCTCGTGAGGGGTGTGCCGAAATGGCCCGAGGCCGCCATGCGAACCCTGCCACTGGCGCCTTCGGTGGAGCTCCCTATGGGGCCACGATCCTCG